TTCCATTCATTTGGCTATTTGTCCCTGTGCTTTATCCAACCTTGGTTTCAACAATTCTCGCTCATATAAACCCTCCTCTTTCTCTCTAATTGGACTCCCGGAACTCCACCCGGGGCCTAGCCGTGGATCTCTGCATCCAGATTCCTCAGTCCTTGGGTGGGGTTTCTGGCATGACTATTAGGGTGTTTGGCCATCCCATCACCAGAGTAGGTCAGTTCGGGCTGTCTCTCGACCATTGCCAGCCGTCTATTGTGGGAGTATCTTTGTGGAATATCTTTGAGGTAATTATACTCCAAAATATTTAGGTACACATGTGTATGTGTGCCAGCAGAGGCCAGCAGAGGGCATCACATTCTCTGGAGCAGTCGGGAGCCACCTGATACAGGAACAGGGAACTGAACTTGTCATCAGCAAGAGAAGCTCTTAACCACTAAGACATGTCTCCAGCTACCAAAATTTTGTTTAAATCGCCTAGAGAACATTGTGTCTATCTATCAAATGTATTTACAAGAGGTAAAAACCTTCCACAGTGCCTATAAACCAAGCAATAGCTAGTGGAGTTGCGAGCATCGTCAGAATCATGAACATAATTTGGTATCTTCTGTTAGCCTGGGAACAGATACTTCTGCTACAGCTATCGAAGATTATGTGTGACCTGTTCAACATGCCTGATGTGTTCTTTTTTCTCCTCCCTCCACATTCCACCTGTTCTTAAGGCAGCAACAAAAGTAGTGGAAAATGAGAGAGCAAGGGCAGTCGCTTCTGAGGATGAGCCCAGCGCTGCTCACACTGAAACAGAGGCCGAAGTGGATTTGAATAACGGAGAAAGGTGTGTATACTCTGGATTTTTTTCAAGGGCTTAGGAATATTTTGTCTTTACCGTAAGTGATGCTAGTAAGCCATTATTAAAGTAATAATTGAGTGATTGCTGGGTTCTCTAATTGATGGTTTGAATACTTGGAGTACGATAGAGTTATTTCATGATTTACATGGATGATATGTTAAGCAAAGTAATGAGTTAGAAAATACCAGTTTAATGTGTATAGATTTATTTACTATTTTTAGTGAAGGTCTGCTTAAGAAATGAAGTGGAAATTAGAAACCTGGTTCATTTCTGCCCCTTATTTGAGCTCAGATCCTACTTGCCTTTGGTATATACTAAGTTATTCTGGTATTTTAAGGTATTGTTCTCTATATTTTTCAAGGATATTGTGCTCTACTCAAAAAACAAAACCCAGCAGTTGGCTCCAGTGCTGGAAGAAGTACCCTAGTCAGTCCTGACCGCTGTAAGGCAGTAGTGCAGTCTCAGGTCATTTTCAGGGATTTTCAAGGTTGGTTTTGCTTTAGGGTTTTTGTCTGTCTGAGCTGCATCCTCAGCCAAAGGGTGGTGCTTGTTTGGTGTTTGGTTTTTGTGTTATTCTTTTGGACAGCTCTTTGTGTAACTGAGGCTGCTCTTGACCAAACAGTCACTTTGTCACCGAGGCTCACGTTGAACAGATCCTGAGCCTCCTGCCTGGACCACCCAAATGCTACATTTATAGGACTATGCCACCACACTCGGCTTGGGAGTGGGAGGAGGGTTAAAGTAAGTGTGTGTGTGTGTGTGTGTGTGTCAGAGTACAGCCTGTGGGAGTTGGCTGTCTATCATGTGGGCCCCAGATAATGAATTTCCGGGTAGTCAAGCTTGGCTCCAAAGAAACAGTAACCTTTATTCACTCACTAAGCCATTTCTCAAGACACTAAGGGTGAATAGTGCACTTTTGTTTTATGAGCTAACCCTGTTGAAGAAGATAAAGTTTGACCATTATAAAGATTCTTTATTTTTTTAATTTTATTTGTTGTTCTTGTTGTGTGTGTATATGCATCATATGTGTACCAGAGTGCATGTGTAAAGGTTAGAGGACTTCTGGTAGCTGGTTCTTTCCTTCCAGGATGGATTCTGGGAATTTAAGTGAAGTCATCAGATTTACAGAGTGAGTGCTTTTTTTTTTTTTACCCACTGAGCTATTTGTTGACCCAAGATTTCTCCTGTTGAACCCATGATAAATTTTTTCTATTGTTGTATATTTAACCCAAGGCTAGATAGTTAAGACCTTTTCATTTCTGGATGAATGGATTTAGTAGCCCACATAATGCTTAAAGTTCCAAGGATGCTATCTTAACTACTTATTTAGAGGTGGGGGCTGGGCCCCAAGTTAGAGAAACACTTCATTGTAACCCTTAAGACTAAGGCTAAATCATTCTAGAATCTTCTCCTTTTTGTTCCTGTGTGTCAGCATGGCTTGCTCCTCATTCATCTCAAAGGCTTCACTAAAGTCTCATTTTGGCTCTATTACTTTATTTTGTTTGGAAAATAAATGATCCTGAGACCAGGACATTCATGTAATTTAAGCCTTCTTGCCCAGTGTAATAGTGCTGTATTATAGAATTAAGACCTAAATCATAATGCTTAGAGATAATAAGTCCATTTCCTGTCTCCTCTCTTTATGTAGCACCACTCAACTTTTTTTCGAAGCTCTCCTAGACACAGACATAGTACAGAGTGTAAAGTAGAACCCTTCATGTTCTCATCTGCTTCTCTACACTCTTGACTCTCCTTGACTGCATATATCCAACTGTCTTTACAAGACTTTGGATCCCATCTCAGCAGTACTGCTCTGATGATTTGTATCCAAGGTTATAATGTAGCTTGGTACCACACAAATACATCCTTAAAGTAACTTCCAGAGTTGGCTTTGCAAAGGTAAATGTTCAGATTTCTTCCCAGCTTAAAACTTTTAGCTTACAGTACTATGAGAGTGAACCCAGGGCAGGACATGAATCATACTTTTTTTTTTAATTGAAAATAGATTTTTAAAAATACAGTCTATTCTAATTATGGTCTCCCCTCCCCTAGTCTTCCCAGTTTCTCCCCATCTCCCCTCCCATCCAGATCCACATTCTTTCCATCTCTCATTAGAAAACAAACAGGCGTCTAAGGAATAATAAAATTCGATTAATAAAAAACAAATATGACAAAACAACCAAACAAGAAAAGTCAAAGAAAAAGTACAAGAAACATATATAGGTGCAGAGATACATATTTGCACACTCAGGAATCCCAGAAAAACCAAAACCAGAAACCATAATATATACAATATATACAAAGGACCTGTAAGATAGAAAAGGAATAAAACACCCTGACTTAACATTATGAGACAAAGAACCTCCAAAGTTACTGCTGAATTCATTTTATGTTGGCCATCTACTTCTGGGCATGGGGCCTACCCTTAAGAATGGTTTCTTGCTGGCCAGTGGTGGTGCATGCCTTTAATGCTAACACTCGGGAGGCAAAGGCAGGCAGATCTCTGTAAGTTTGAGGCCAAAGAATGGTTTCTTTCCCCAGTGAGACTCCCTTAAAGAAAACTCAGTTTTTATTTTTAAGTGGTTATCAATTGGAGATAGTTTCTTGATTAGTGATGGGGGCATGTGTCCACTTCCCCTGTCAGCACCAGGACCCCATCTGGTGCAGATCTATGCATGCTGTGCATGCTGCCAGTGTCTGGAGTTCATATGTATGACAGCCCTGTTGTGTCTAGAAGGCCTTGTTTCCTTGCTGTCTTCCATCCCTGCTGACTCTAACACACTTATCTTCTCTTCCACATAATTGTCTGAACCCTGAAGAGAGGGATTTGATGGAGACATCCCTTTTAAGGCTGAGTGTTGTAAGTAAAGTCTTTCACTCTGTATATTGTCTAGCTGTGAGTCTCTGTATTTGTTTCTATCTGCTATAAGAAGCAGCTTCTGATGATGGCTGAATAAGACACAGACAGATCTATGAGTATAGCAGAATGTTGTTAGGAGTCATTTTATTGCTACATTCCTTTAGCAGGACAGTAGAATTTGTTTTTATTAGCAGAACATAGTATTTGAGACTGTCTAGTCTCAGGTATCTTGGTCACCAAGCAGTGCCGGGCATGAGTTCCATCTCATGGAGTGGGCCTTAACTCCAATCAGGTATTGATTGGTCACTCCCACCAGTTTTGAGCCACTGTTGCCCCAGTTGTCCGTGCAGGAAGGTCACCATTGTAAATGGAAGGATTTGTAGCTGGGTTGGTCTTTACCGTTCTTCTTTGGTAGCATGCAGAGTTATACTCATGTACCATGAACAGTAGTCAGTAGGGGTGAAGGCTCTATGTAGGCACCAGCTTGATTTCTTCATGTTCATTGAGTTGTGTAGGTGTTGTCTTTAGCAATAAGGTCTTATTGTCAGTTTGTGGAAAGCTACCAATAGCCTTAACCATAACTCTTTGGCCAACAACTCAATTAGATGTAACCTATTCCCTGTACTGGAAGCATCATTTGATGACAAGAGATGTTCAGTTGAGGCTGTGTCTCTCCTGTTACTTGACAATTTCATTTAGATTACCTTTTTTTTTTTTTTTTTTTTTTTTTTTTTTTTTTTTTTTTTTTTTTTTTTT